AAGAAAAGATTTCGAAGTAAAAAGACTGTAAATGAGAAAACTTGTAAATGTTATTTGACAGAAAGATAAAGGAAAGTGCTGGAAATGGTAAAAGGTTTTCATTAAATCAGAAATACATGGTGCTATCATACGTACATTTCTCTTGCATTCGTTTCCCTTGCCATGTGGTAGTTTGAATGTTACTGAGTATTTAGTACAATAGATATGACACACGAAATCCTAATACTAAGACTTCTATTTATACTAATTCGACCATAACGGTCTTGCTATAGGATTATGCCACGTTCATAACATGCAGAACAATGCCTCTTTCTTCTTTCCACGTGTCTCCAAATGCTCCAGCACATAAATTTCAAACTTCGAATGTCCCGCTTCCATTTGAATTTCAAATGCTTTGGTACTTCTCCGTTTCGAACGTACTTCCCAGACACAGCCTTGTTGTTATTTCGAGACTTCTTTAGATATGTTCCCATAGTTGCTACTCGAAGCTCCAGCTTTGACATGCTTATTCGAAACACTGCTTCTGCTACTTCGAAACATGACATTTTACTTCATTTCGATCGAAACGTTTAATTCAATTGACTTCTAATAATATTATCAAAATCTTCAGCCAACAAATTGCCCCTTTAAAATATGTATTTCGATTCCTCTGAGAAATACCTATTTTAAACATCTACACAAGATTTTGATGTGACTTTCGAATCATCGTAACATTTAATGCATTTGACTCCAGTCACGTCAATCATAGCACCTTTTTGGATTCCTTAACTGCCTGGAGCCACTTCACAGTATGGTGCAGTTACAAATAATGATTATCTTTAAATCACGCCTATTACCCATGTTAACTTTACGCCACCTCTTCATCACACCAACCCATGATTTCCACGTATCACACCCTTATTCAGTGGATGCTTAAACTTCCCCATTATAAAACATCACCAACTTAATCTTTTTCTTTTCTTTTCACACTCTGAATCTTTTACCCTCCTTCTCTCGTCAAAAACCCAAGCTTTCAACATCCTTCAAAAATGTCTTCTTCTACTTCATCCCAACTCAAGAAAGTCTCCAAGAAGAAAGGAAAAACTGCAGGAACTACCATGGAAAGTAAGATCATCACTCACCAAGGTCAATCCGTTCTTGCCCCTCAGATGATTTCAAAGGAAAAAGAAATGTTGTATGCGTCACAGGTACTCATTCCTACCAACGTTGCTGGTAAGAGGCTAGCTTTAAATGGCCCTCTTACGGTTTTTGAAATATTAAAAGACACCAGGACGATTTTCCCAGTTTGTTATAGTTTTAAACCCTTGTTTAACAAAATGGACGCCCCTAAGGCAGTAGAATCTTCTAGTTCAAATACCATAGAAAACCCAACTGTTCCTCCTAAGGACCCCTTTGTATTGGATTATGTAAAAAGTAATTTTAAGCCATTTCGATCTTGCCCCACCTCTGATATTGCTTATCAAAATTGGTTCAAGAAAGTAGAAGCTAAGAAATCCCAGCAATGGGAAGAATTAGGTATCTATAACCTGATTAAGCTATCGAAGCCTGGTTTCACCTACAGCCACCCTCTGCTATTCGCGTCCCTCTATTTCTGGGACAGTACCTATAACACTTTCCATCTCCCAAGTGGAATGATCACCCCAACCTTCTTCGACATAGCCGCCATCACTGGGCTATCGCCAGTGGGAGAAACTTATATACCCGACATCGAAGAACATTCAAGCATAATTGACTTCGAAGTCAAGCTAGCCAGTTTTTCCAAGTTTATCAGTCATTACCATGCTGAGGGGGACAATGTGTCTGACGTAGAGCACATTGCTTTCTTAACCCTGTGGCTGTCAAGATACGTTTTCTGCAGTAGGTCCCTGCAGGTAGCTAGTAGGTTCATTCCTCTAGCTAGGGACTTGCATGAAAATCGAAAAGTGTGCCTAAGTGAACTGCTCTTAGTTGACCTTTATGAAAGCCTGAGGTCAGCTGTTTCGAGCCTCAAATCCCACACCTCCAAAAATATTTTGTTGGCTGGCCCTTTTTGGTTACTTCAACTATGGCTAAATGCCATGTTCGAACCTTCCTTATCAACCGCCAACATCATTGATGAGCAAGATCCTGAGATAAATGATAGGATAGTCGAAGGCACTAGGCTTCTAAGATTAACTCCCAATGATGACAAGGATGACTTCAAAGTCCAATTCTCGAAGTACATCATGATATTCTCCAAAAGGCACACGTTCGAAGAGAGCATGGCGCCTTTTGCTTCGAGGGCTCATGGACCTTCTTGGTTCACCATGGCTCTCTCAGAAGCTATCAAGAGCAAGGAGATTCAGGATGTATGGAGAGCTTTTTTACTACCTAGACTCATTTCTTCAAGAATAACTCCAGCCAAAAACCAGATTTTTCTTTTTGCCTACCAACCAAACTTTGTTTCGAGGCAGTTTGGCTTATCACTACAAGAAAATTAGTGTTTAACGACACAAAAATTGCGACAGTTATGTGATAACTGTCGACATATAGAGACAGTGTTTACGACGGTAAAACAACCGTCGGCCCCCATTTAACACTTTTAACATTGATTTTTCACCAACAACTAGTCACGACGGTAAAATTAACCGTCCTAAAAGGCATATCACGACGGTAAAGCACCCGTCGCACCTTTAAACCTTTCACGACGGTAAAATTATCCGTCCTAAAATTCATTTCACGACGGTAAAACAACCGTCGCACCCAAAACCTTTAAAAATTCTCATGGGCACGACGGTAAAACACCCGTCGCCGTAAAAAAGTTAAAAAGCTCTTAAAAAGCTCTTATTCATTTCATTATTCTTGTTACACTTTTATTTTTACAGTGAACCCTTCATCTCTCTCCCGCGCACCCTTCATCTCTCTCCCGCGCAGCCTCTCACCCCCCAACCTTCAAACCCAGTTCTCCCTCAATCAAAACCCAACCACCAAAAACAAACAAAAAGCTAAAGATCTTACCCCTTTCGCGATTGCTTTATGACTTTCTGTCCGATTTGTTCTGATCTTCTTTCTCTCTTGCTTTGTAGATTCTGGCGAGTTCGAATGGAATAGCGGCGGCGAAGCTACGGTGATTAGCAATTAGGGTTTTAGATGTTTAAATCCTAATTGCTCTTTCTCTTTTCGTCTTCAACGACAATGCTGGTATCTCCTTCTTCGCGTTCTTCAAGTTCTCTGTTTTCTCTCCCTCTGTCTCTGTATTCTCGTCCGTTTTTTCGATTTTTTTCTTCATTGTAATCGACCCCTTTCTGTCTTCAGTCCCCCCTCTGTTAATTCTTCTTCTGTATTTATAGGCTTTAGATTTTATGGTTTTAGATCAATTTGCTGTTACAAATTGGATTAGCACAAATTAGAGATTTTAAAACCAATTAGGGATTTGATTCACTACTGTAATTGATTTTGATTTGTTGTAATATATGGATTTATGTAATAGAGATTGAATATGTGTTAATAGGTTTTGCTGAGTATTAATTTGTTGAGTTTAATTTGTTGAGTTTGACTAGAAAATATGTGTTAACAGGTTTTGCTCAAATGGTTTGTGGTTCTTGTAGACGTCTGCTTTCGTATCCATCAGGTTCCAAACATGTCAAATGTTCATGCTGTCAAACGGTAAACATTGTGTTTGAAGGCAAGTTTACTTTCTCTTTGCTTCTTTTTATCTTGAACGTGCATACATAACTGTGAATAATGGGAGAGAGTGAAACAACAATGAAAAAAATTGAGAAAGAAAGCTTTGAGATGAGTGAAAAACATGAAATTGATGATGATTCTAAGCTCATCTACAGAGGTTGGAAGGTCATGCCTTACATTATAGGTAACTAAACTAAGAAGTAGAAAAACATGTACTCTCTTACAAACAGTGTTTTTTAGTCTAATTATGGTTGAAAATTTTGATGTACAGGAAATGAAACATTTGAGAAATTGGGAGCCATTGGAACATTACTGAACCTGTTGGTGTATCTTACAACTGTATTCAACCTAAACAACGTCACAGCTACAAACATCATCAACATCTTCAATGGCAGTACCAACGTTGCTACCTTGCTTGGTGCTTTCGTCTCTGACACATATTTCGGCCGTTACAACACATTAGGATTCTGCATCATCACTTCCTTTCTGGTATTTATTCTTACAGTTAGCTTGATAAAAAATATAATATTATTAATTTAATATACATCTGGAGACAAGTTTTTTAGATGCACTGACACCCTGCATGTCTGTACTGTCACTGAGAATTTAAGAAAATTTATGCAGCAAGTGACTTGCTGTTACGATTTACTGACATTCAGTTTTTGTCGTTTTGATTTTCATAAAAGTTAAAAAAAAATATATTAATGGTTTTCTTTCATTGAAACAGGGATTACTTGCAATACAACTTACAGCTTCATATGAGGGGCACCAGCCTTTTCAATTTTGAATGACACAGGTCGTGGTTCAATTGAGATTCCTCAAAGATTAAGGTGGTACGAGATTGTTCAAATTTGAAGGACACAGGTCGTGGCTTAATTGAGATTCCTCAAAGGTGAAGGTGGTATGAGATTGTTCAAATTTGAATGGACAGGTCATGACTCAAATGTAACATGGTGGGTGGTTTTAAAACATAGTCTTAATAATCACAACCAAGAATAAATAATTTTGCCCAAGAATGAATGAAGAAATCTTTATCACATCCAGTTGTGGTTCACGGATTATATCTTGATACTTTAAGGGATTTAATCTTGATACTTTGAGGGATTTAATCTTTTGATCTAACGGTTACATCCTCTCACCTTTCATAAATCAATCCTCTCACTTAATATGCCCCCTATACTACTATCACACACTTTCCATTTCTTTTGCTTCCCATTGTTCAACAGAACAGAATTGTAATTAACACCGACACAAGAACTGTAGATGTTTATAGAGATAATATATGATGGAATTTGTTGTTGATTAGTTTGTTAAGATTTTTGAATCAGAGTTTGTTATAGAAAAGAAGAAGAAAGATGGGTAGCTCAGATTTCTCATGGAAATTACCGGATCATCCTAAGCTTCCAAAGGGAAAGACTATTGCTGTTGTTGTTTTGGATGGTTGGGGTGAGGCTAACCCTAATGAGTACAACTGTATCCATATCGCCGAAACACCCACCATGGATTCCCTTAAAAAGGTATAATAATGATAATAACTATGCATATACCTTTTCTGTTTTTCAATTTGTCTTTTGGATTGAACTTGTTTGGACTTTGGATTGAATCTGCTTAGATCTATTGCTGTTTTGGGTTTTCCTTGAAGATGAAAATTAATGGTGGTGGTTTTTTTTTGTTATGTTGTAGGGTGCACCTGAACATTGGAGATTGGTTAGGGCTCATGGTAAAGCTGTAGGGCTTCCAACTGAGGATGACATGGGTAATAGTGAATTTGGTCACAACGCACTCGGTGCTGGACGTATATTTGCTCAAGGGTAAATTGAAATAGCTTCTAATCTCAATCTATTTGGTTTGGTCTCGTTTTTCCATTTATTCATGTATGTCTTGGTAAGGAATTGGTCTTTGATGTTTCTTAAACTGTGTAGCTGGTATGGTGTTTCTTGATTTACCATATCAGAAAATGTGAACTAATTTTGTTGCTTGAAACATTTGGATTTGCTGTGCCTATTCTTTTATGTCATGGCATAGCAGTTCCTGCTATGTCTTGTTCTATGATCCACCTTTTTTCTTGAATTATCATAAATGGGATCAGTAGGTACAAATTTGCTCCCCTGCTCTGCCTAGTTTTGTTTTAGATTCAACACAATAATCAACATCTATGTGGCTTTGCATTACCGTGCATCTCATTTTTCCCCGGACTGCGTTCTTCTGTTTGAATGGAAACTGTTTTGTATCTTGATGTCAATAAATTTGTTCAGTGGTATTAGGATTGGTTGTTGCATGCTTCCCATCTTGAAATGTTTTTTCTGATGCTTTCCTTTTGTCTATTCATATTGACTGTGCTATCGTATTTCTAGAACAAGTGATGATTGGGATTACTGATTTGTGCTTGTTTATTGTAGTGCAAAGCTTGTTGACCTTGCTCTTGAATCTGGAAAGATTTTTGAGGGAGAAGGTTTCAATTACATCAAGGAAAGTTTTGTAACTGGCACATTGCATCTCATTGGACTACTGAGTGATGGTGGAGTTCACTCCAGGCTTGATCAAGTGCAGGTGATTTAATGTGTTTCAACTTTTGTGTCTTAACGTTTGCAAAATTTTATGCCTTCTAAATTCGAAGTAACTATTTTTGTACAGTTGTTGCTTCCCATTGTTCAACAGAACAGAATTGTAATTAACACCGACACAGAATTGTAAATCGTGGTTGGTGCTTCATGTTGCGTTTCTTGTTCTAATTTGTGTTACCCTCTTCTTTCTTCTTAGCTGGTACTTTCACTCTTACCCTTTCACTAATTTATCCCTTCTGTAATTGTATATTGTAATTGCTTTGATTATCATTCATGTTTTGTATGTAAAGTGTTCATGTGAAGTATTGATTGAACATGAACCAATTCATAATCCCTTTTGTTTTTGTTTCTGTATGCTGCTGATTGATTGTTGAGTAGCTCACTCTATAATCTGCTAGCCATAATGTAATGTAAGGATTTGGGTTTTATGTTGTCGTTCGATGCTGATCGGATGACTTGTATTTTAAAGCTTGTTTGGTGAAACTAGACATGAGTTTACTGATCTTCATCCAGTGGTCGAGATCTTGTCTCTTGACTGTTTGACTAGATATCTTCCTAGACTGGAGGAAATCTGGATTCGAAAGAAACTAGTCAGGAGTAGTTTTCTGTAGACATATTAGATTGGTGTGGAGCTGTATGTGAGTTCTATTCTACATTTGTTATGTTTTAAAAATTGAGCCTAACAAAACAGAACAACAACAACAATCGGAGAATTATTTTTCTCATTGTGTATGTGACAGCTTAATCATAATGTCCTACCATGAATCATCTTTAATTATGAATCATTTAGCTTTAGATCTATCTTTCAAATGGTTTAATTTTTGCTAGGTCTCCCTATCTTTAACTACTTGTCCACCATTTGATCTCACGAAAAATATCTCATCTAGGAATATGTTGATGTTGTGCAAACATTTTGCCTGTATAAGCTGCCAAATATTCTAGTTTGGAAGTAATGTAGTTGGAATGGGTGGGTTTTATACATGAAGTATTAGTGAAGTTTTATGTGTATGCGCGTGTTTGTTGCCTTGTGTATTGCTATGTCAAATGCTTTGTGATGGATCGATAATATCGTTAGTCATGAACTTAGGTTTTTTCTTTCACCCGGTGCATTAGACTAGGAAGGAACAAAAGTGCATATATGATTAGTTGATGTATCATAATTGCATAATGCTTGTTCTGTTTTGATGAAATGATTCAGACCTTTTCAGCGTCCTTCTGGTGGAAAATTTCCGAGAGTAAACCAAATGAAAAGGAAATGCATGTTTTATTGTTGTAGTATCAGATATCAAATTAAACTCATGAGATGCTTTGTGTTTCTTGTAACATCTAACTATGAGATCAGTTGCTGGTTAGGATTGTTCTGTTGATCTTCCAATGCTTTTATTTTTCTGCAGGTTTCTTGCAGAAACTGGTTTAGTCTCTGTTGAACATCAAATGCGAGAGATGGGCTTGGACGTTAAGGCTCCTGTAGAGACTGACAAAAAGGCCGAATAACTACGATCTTCTTGTGTTTCATGATCTCTGATAAATGACCGAATTAGAGTACATGGTTAACATAGAACAGTAGGCTCGATTTATATTTTCAAGTTGTAGCAAACCAATGTAAATATTGTAAATATTGTAACATTTTTTGTAATTCTCTCAAGTTGTAGCAAACCAATGTAAAAAAATGAAATTTGGCCTTTGATGATATTTGAATTTTTCTTGTTTATTGGTAAAATTTGCACTTCTTTTTACCTTTGATCACATTTTTTTGATATTATTGATGATTATTTGATATTAAATGTTTTTATTGTAATTAACTTTATTATGTTGAAAAGTGATAGAAAATAAAATAAAAATACTATAAATAAAAAAATATTAAAGTAAATAATAATTTAAATATAATAGTAAAATATTATAGTAAAATAATATTATATTTAAAATTATTTTACTAAATAATAATTTAAATAAAAATATTATTTGAAATTTATAAATCAGATTACGACGGTTAAAACCGCCGCAATTTCTAACCTACGGCGGTAGAATAACCGTCGCAAACAACAACAAAAACAAAAAATAAAGTCAAATTCACGACGGTATATAACCGTCGCTATCTGTTGTGCGTGACAGTTTTTGCAACCGTCGCGAAATAGGCTGGGGACGCACGATTCTGCGACGGTACTTCTACCGTCGTAGATTGTAAATTGCGACGGTTTTAACCGTCGTAATCAGCCAAAATAACCGTCCCAATCTATCATTTTTCTTGTAGTGTATGCCAACTGATTCCTGAACCTTTATTTCAAACTGAGAGTGCCATCACTTCTGGACGAACTTTCAAGGCACGGGAAGCCAAAATACAGCAAGAACAATATCAAGGCTTTGCCCAATTTGAGCTGATAACCTTCGAACCTACCCATCTCATAGCTAAAGGGTTTCTGGAATGGTGGACCAAGTTTTATCAAACTTATATGTTCGATACACTTACAATTCAACAGAAACTAATTGATGCCTTCGATGTGCAGGTACCAACAAACAAAGGTATGTTTACTCATGCCAAAGAGATTAAAGCTTTTCAAAATTATTTTGAAACTACTTATGACCCCACGCGCTTGGACTCCACTGTGCATCAAGCGGCTGAGACCTTGAAGGAAAAATTTAAACAAAAAGTTTCTAAGTTAAAACTTCCTTCAGGGCTGTCACCTGAGGATAGGTATAGGTTGGCATTCGAAATGCATCCACCTAAATTTCCCAGATTACCTACCTCAGAACTGGCTCTGGCTTGGTTTCCCCCATATCCTTGGTGGTTTACTTGCAAAGAGATGTTCAAATATCTTTAAAGGAAACCAAAGCCATCTGAGACTGTGACATGGGCTCGACACTGGCTTCATGATTTCCCAGGACACCTTCGATACGACCTTTCTGCCATGTCAATTAAATCTGATCAAGGCACAGGTGCGAATGCTTGGGAAAATCCCAAACGTCTTTTATTTTCCATATCTTTAACCTTTGCTTTAATTGTTTCGATTTTCATCCATCAGGATAAAGACAGCTGCCTCGAAGTCGAAAGAAGGGAGTGCCTCTCAAGCCTCCATCGAAACTACTGACAAAGTGACTCCACCCGAAACAACCACTATTGTTGCAACCACAACAACAACAATAATACCAACAACAACCAGTGTTCCAATTCCAACGGTAATCACTTAGCCTTGATGTTTCGAATTCACTCATGTTTTATGGTTTGCATCTAACTCTTCGTTTAAATCCTTTCATACCAACAAGCTCCCTCCTACTACTCCCAAGAAGCGGAAATCAAGCACCACTGGGGAAGATCCCAAGGCTGGAGGAAACTTAAACACTGCTTCGAAGAAGAAGCCAAAGAAAGATATTTCGAAAAGTACCGTTCCAACTAGTGTCTCTGGACTTGATTCCAGGGATGCTGCTCCCTCACCCAAATCCAAAAATCCACCTTCGACCTCTAACATAACGTTGGAACGTATAGCTAGTAACCTCTCCTCCGAGAGTCCACAGGTAAATTGAACCTTTAAATTTTTGACAATAATAACTTCTTATTACCTTGGTGAATGTTTTTTAACATTCTGTTGTTCCTTGCAGAACATCTTGAATCCAGCTTCCACTACTTCGAACTCACCATCCAGAGCTGCTGCTCCACTCAACTCCTCTCCTCAAGGAGATTCCAGCAACCTCGTTCAAAATAAAGGTTCCTCCAATATGGCAGTTCTGGCTGGAACTTCTGAACAGCAGGATGATCAAGGTACCTCCATTCCTCTGAAAGAGATAAACGAAACACCACTTCAAACATCTGCAGAGGATTTGCAAAGAGCTTCTCTTCAAAAGTCCCCTCTTGAAACTCTTCAAGAGGACCCAAAGGACACTCAAACTGAAGAAGAGAAAGCTGATTCTGGGCAAAGAGCCGAAGAATCTGCAGACGAAGAATCTGAGGAGGAGAATGCCAATGACGGTTCGACTGCTGGGATGGAGTCCAACGCAAATAGCAGTGAAAGGGATGGTATCGAAGTGGTGGACTTGGATGTGGATGAAGAAGACCAAGAGCTCGAAACGAATGAAGGAGATGGTAATGCAACCCACGAACCCATGGAGGTTGAAATGGACGTGGCTCCCCTACGTGTGGAACTCCCTCAATCCTCTTTGTCTCGAATGACTGACGAGGAACTGGCACTTCTGAGACGAAATGACCCTATTGGGTACATGAAGGCAAAGTTGGCTCAGAGGGACGTCCCACTTGCTAGGGCTGGCACAAGTTCGACCAGCTATCCTCTTCCCACAGATGAAAGAATTGTTCTTCTTAATAAAATTAGGAAAACCATTCTCAATGTGGATATATTCGAAGTGCTTAAGCAAGATAGTACTGCTTGCTATACTATGAAGGAGCTGCTCACAAAGGTCAATCTTTCTACCTGCTCCTTGCCAGTTAGTACTCTCTTGTTTGATCTTCAGGCTTTGCTGGACAACGTAACTGGTTACCTTCTCCAAGACGAATCTGCTGCCAAGAAGGTTCAAGAGAAACGCATTGCCATGGATGCTGCTTATGAACAAGCTTCGAAACTCTCTCAAGAAGCTAAGGATCAAGCTATGCATCTGAAGCAGGCGAAAACTGATTATGAGGCTCGAGCTGAGTCCATACTTCTTTGGGAAAGGAAGATTCTAGAACTTCAACAGAAGGTTAAGGAGGCTAAAGAAAAACAAATAGCCTTCGAAACCAATACTGCTGGTAACCAATTCGAAGAGCTTCTCAACCAGGGGCTTGCAGAAATGGAGACTGCAGAACAACTTAAAGGAGAAGTGGCAACCTTGGAAGGAGCCAGACGTTTCGCTCAGCAGAAGCTTGAATCATTCCGAAGCACTTTCAATCGGTTGAGAAATAACTCTTATTTCTAGATTTTGATGTTTATTTGACTACAATTTTGGTTTCTTATATGTAATATTCGAACAATGCCATTTTGGCATTTTATCTTGCCATTTTGGCCTTTTATAACATCTTGGTTACGTTGTTACTATTCGAATCTCCTGCAGGCGTGGCTTATATTTCTTTAAATATTTCCCATTGACCTTTAGGATACGTTTATCATCCACGAGTTCTTTGATTTCGTATGCATTGTTTGAGAATACTTTTAATATTCGAAAAGGTCCTTCCCAATGAGGTGACCATTTACCTAATGCTTTATTCTTCTTGTCCATAGGCAATATGACTCTCCAAACTAAGTCATTAATAATTAATACTTTTTTCTTCACCCTTTTATTGTATGTTCTGGCCACTCTTTCTTTTTGTCTCATCAAAATTTCCAATGCATGTAATCTAATTTCGTCCAACTCAACTAATTCATTCATCATCATTTCCCAATACAATGCAGCTGGGATTTCGTTTTGTCTCTGAATTCGAACTGATTGTAGATGAATTTCTACTAGCAACACTGCATCATGACCAAATGTGAGTTGGAAAGGCGTAGTGTTAGTAGCTTCCTTAGGAGATGTTCTACAAGCCCATAATATTTGGTCCAGAGTTTTGTGCCAGTTTCTTGGCTTTTTGCCAATATGCTTCTTGATTAATCCTATTATTACTTTATTTGCTGCTTCGACTTGACCGTTTGCTTGAGCATAATATGGCGTTGATGTTAGCAATCTAAACCCCATTTCTTGGGTAAATCCTTGCATCTTTCTACCAGTAAACACAGAGCCTTGGTCTGTGGTTATGCTCTCTGGCAATCTGAACCTATAGATAATGTGCTTTTGTATAAATTCAATAATAGCCTCTTGATCAGCAACTATCAGTGGTATAGCTTCGATTCATTTGGTAAAATAATCTATTACCACCAAGATGTATTTTTGTCCTTTGGACGAAGCAGGATTTATTTCTCCTATCAAATCCAATGCCCATCCTCTAAATGGCCATGGTTTGATGATCGAATGCAACTCACTTGCAGGGGCATGTTGAATTCCTGCATGTTTCTGACATTCCTCACATCCTTTAGCAAAGTCTATGCAATCTTTGAGCATGCTAGGCCAATACAAGCCGTATCGAAATAACAACCATTTCATTTTATGGCCTGCTTGATGTGCCCCACATGCCCCATTATGGACTTCTGACAATGCTAAATATGCCTCACTTTCTCCTAGGCATTTCAATAATACACCCTCTTGGGTATTTTTAAACAATTCGTTCCCCATGAGGAGATATGACAGTGCTCTGTATTTTGTCTTTCTATCCACATTTAGAGTTGGGTCTGCTAAATAACTCTTCAGTGGACTTCGCCAATCTGCATCTGACAAAGTATTTATGGCCAATATTTCGAATCCCTGTTTCTCAGCATATCCCAATTTCATACTTTCCAGATCCGATGGTGTAAATCTAGTAGCCAAAACTCTACCCCTTAATTCAACCAAATCCTTAAAGTTCTTGGTAGACACTTTATAACCCGAAGCCAACTGCGCTAAGTCATTTGCTTCTTGGTTCTCTATTCTTGGTATGTGTTGAA